GAAAGCAACGCTGACATGGTAAGAGCCAGGAATACTAAATATCCTGTAACAAACTGGACAAACTCCACAGAATTAAACTGCCCAAAATGCTACTACTACTGAGAAACACTGACAGAGAATTAATTGCCAAAGCCAAAAAGCTAATAGTAACTTTAATATAAATTTAATAATGAAATTCAGGAAATTGCCAAGGACAAGCCCAAAATGAAATCAATCATAAAAGTATTATCAAATTCTTGTCTAAAATAAGAAGTCTAGGCTGCCTTTTCAAAATGGCATTGCAACAAAAGCAAAAGATGACATAATCTCAAACAACATTTCTCTGCCACCTCTTTGCCAAGTTTTCCATTTGTGTTTTATAATAGCTTTGATGCTTTATGTGCAAAATCTTATCCTTAGTCACTCCCTAAGATTTTATACAAACGAGTCATGAAGTCCTCCAATTCCCATTCTTCCACATTTGTTCTGGGTCCTTTTTATTACATATAAAATTAATAGTTACCTATGAGATTTTACTTGTTCTATTCTTTTCATCTATGACACAACTGCCCCATTAATTATGAAAAAAAAAATCTTTCTTCCTGTTAAATCACCTTACATAACTACAATTCCTAACTGAATAGCATGCAGATACCTTAAGTTAACATTCAAGGTCCTTGACAAACTGGCTTATTTCTCCCCCAACCTAATTAGGATCATTATTTCAAACAGTTTTTTTTTAATCCTTCAAACTACCATGATGATTCTCTTTTCCAACGGTTTGCCTGCCTAAAATAATTCTCCTACTGCTTATTCCCTGCCATTCTGAATCCTTAATAACATGCAAAAATATTAATCAAATGCAACAAATTCTAGTAATCTACATTTGGGTAATGTCAGTAAGCCCCTAGATAATTCTCCCCTGGTTAAGACGGGAAACCTCTTGAGGGTAAGGCTCACACCTTCATTTCTTTTGCATTACTCCCCCAGAACAATATATAGTTAGTTGAAATCAGAATTTTTTAAATAAATCATCAAATATAGCAAGTTCATTTTTATAGTAAAAAAAAATTAATTCAAGGACACAAGATTTCCTAGTGAAAAGAACCAGAATTCAGGCCACAATTTGTAAACTAATGTTGTTTGACAATTAATAAATAAATGCTTGTTAAACAGAACTCTAAGATTAAAAAAAAAATCACTTTGCAAACATGTATCCAGCAACAGTTCACTGCAATTGAAAAGAGAATCAAGCCTCCTCAAAGTAAAGACTGCCTATTACACTGTATTTTCCACATATCAAAAAGATAAAGGAGATTCTTTGATAATAGTTTTGATAATTTTTTTAAATCTCAAATTTTACACAAATTTAATCAATCTAAAATTCCATTTTTCTGCTTGGTCTCTAAATTTCTTTTTTTTTTTTTTTTTTTAACAGTACCAGGGATTGAACTCAGGAGCACTCAGCCACTGAATACATTCCCAGCACTATTTTTTTGTATTTTATTT